AGTTGAATTTTGCGTCCATAACTGCTCTCTGGTGAAGACGCTGGAGGCTTGTCATGATAGCCGAGCCATCAATGGGCAGATCCGAAAGACATTATGCCGGAGCTTCCTTGTGGAGAGCTCTAAGAGACGGTCGAACACTGCGGCTAGGCTCGGGGGCGTCGCAGCGGTAGTGATTTGGATGACCGGGTCGCGAACAGGTCCATAAAAACTGCTGTTAGTTGGTGTAAGGCTGTGTCAAGCAGCGGCAGAATACCGGCGAAACATGTGTTTGGGTTTTTAGCCAGTACCAGTATGGTAAATAATTACGTATTTATAATCTCGCGATAAAAAAGGGGAAACAGCATCCCGTGGCCAATGTGTTGCCTTTGGGGGAGGGGGGATTTGGACTTACTGCAGTTGTCTGTGGAGTAGCCGTCTCGTTGAACGCCACCGGGAACTACCTGATTCAGGCAAAATTGCACAGTTCGATTGCGGTCGGCGAAGGAGTAGCCGCTGATGGTTATTTCTTCCGTCAAATTGAACTATTCGGAAAGAGGGGAAGGGAAGTGAGATTTTGTAAAGAGTACATCCAACTTGAAGCGAAGTCCGACGTCACAGAAATAGCAACAAAACAGCACAACACCGACGGGTGTAGTTACATTGACTGCTCTGTCGGATGACCCTCGCGAATGAGTCATCGGCGGAAAAGTGCGTTTTAAACCATAAGACGGTTGGAACGGCGGACCCCGCAAACCCGCTACGTGGTATCCTGTTATACTTGTAAACCGTGCATATTCCTGCATACTCTCCTCTCTGTCTGCATCACCAAGCGAGCCTAGTTTGCTGCTTTACAGTTTGTTGCAGGAGGCAACGGTCTATGATAAAGGTTTAATAGATAACCATCCCCCCGCAACACATGCCTGCTACCAAGCCTCCTCAGGCGGACGTCTGTAGTTGTTCTTATCGACATCGGAAATGATACCGAGAGTCATAGTCAGTTGCTTGAACTGTAGCGGTCAAACCGACGTTTGACTATACGGAAACAGACACGTTGGAAATTATGATTACCAGCAGGACACAGGCTTAGGTACCCTCTGTTGTAACGGTAGCCAAAGCTGAGATGTCACCGCCTGTTTACGCCCCTGTATGAGTCCCCAAGGAAGAACACGACAAGAAGAGGGCAAAAAGCAGAAGTCCTTGAGCGTGTAGTGCACAACATATTTAGCGCAACAAACGAATGTAAGGCTATGTTCATCGAGCCAATCAGCTTCTGTCCTGGCGTGGCGTGGGTAGCGGCACGATTGGCTTGTGACTCAGCGGCTGACATTCGGCTTAAATTCTGAATTATTGATTGATTGATTGACTGCGAGTTGCGTTCGTCGTGTGTAAGCCGAGCGATAACCTGCCGTGAGCGTCGTTCGTTGCCTGCATGCTAACTGCCTGCTAGCTGGCTTCTCCTAACACCCTCCTCCTCACGCCTAGATGAGAGTCGAACTGGTACTAACTGTCCAGCGGTTACGGTTTGGGCTAGAACACGCAGAGGCACCGCCCTGGAATTATAGCGCAAGGCAACTTTCATACGCGGGAGGGGGTACCGACTTTCGTAACAGTTCGAGCATCGGTTTCTACGAGACACCCACCGGGTGCACCACAGCAAGATGACGTAGGGACGAATACTTGCGCGACACCTACCACACTCTGTGTCATTACCAAGTCAAGAAGACTAGGGGTCAGAGAGAGGTCGAAAATGTCTAATGTGGCCGAAACCGCCTCTAGGCCTGTCGCCACACGTGGGTCACAACCCACGGAGTGGGGATGCCCTAGAGGTCACATTAAGAAGGACGAATCGTAGCGTGATTTTTAGTTGACCACTTCTTACAAATAGACGCGGAGCCGCCTGCGAGGTCAGAGTTATCCCGTCAGTTGGCAACATTCCAAACCACATTGTTTCTGGTGGATACAAATGCGCTGAGCCATCTCTCTCTCTCTCTCTCTCGGCTCACAGTCGTGAAGCCGTCAGAGAGAGCCATTGCAGCCTGACTGTGAGACAAGCAGCCGGCCGCTCCACACAAACACACACTGGGCTGACTGTCGTCTATGAGAGCTGGTGCAATTATGAACAAAGCAACTACGTCACTAAAACTTTAAGGCTTCTCAAGACACGAATTGCCGAACACGCGGCGGCAGTGCGAAGAAATGACACCAATTCCCAGTGTCGTGACTCAATCGATGAGAACCGGCCTCACATTTAAATTTGACGAGGCCAAAATGCCCGCACAAGGTGAGCATCGCATGAGTCCTCAACCACTGAAGTCATGGTTCACGGACCCCCCGGTACAAGTGCAACGACCTGACCAACCCATATTTAACGCCCAGTTGGGCCAAAGCAATTCGCCACTCGGGAAACGTACAGGCGAACGCGTCGTCTAATGTATGCGCCGGGGAGCCAGCGGGTGTTAGGAGAGAGCTGACGGCTAACATACAGGCAGAAAGTAGCCGCGCTCACAGTAGGCTATCGATCGGCGTACACGCAAGCGAACGCATCATGCCAGACAATCAATCAATAATTTAGATTGCAAGCTACATTCAGTCACTGAGTCACCAGCCAATCGTGCCGGCGCCTACACCAGGAGAGAAGCTGATTGGCTCGATGGACATCGTGTTACACGCGTTTGTTGTCCTAAATATGTTGTACCTATTACACTCAAAGACTTGTGCTTTTGCCCTCTTCCTGTCGTGTTCTTCCTTGGGGGACTCACACGAGACGTAATTAGGCGGTGAAACCTCGGCCGTTGGCTACTGTTACAACAGCAGGGGTGATGAAAGTTCAACAGATCACAACCCGCATGCCAGTCACCACGCCATTAACACACAAGCGGACAACTATAAGGAGGAACCGTTAATTGTCACAGGTATGCATTAGCATAGTGACGGCATCCTATAAATACCACAACTTCCTGTCTACGAGATACCCGTTTCTGCTGCTGTCTCAGATGATGGATCGGCGACGTAATCCAAAACTGCAGGCAACTTTCTAACGATAACACATCTGCTTCATCTTACTTAGTGAGCGAACCTACTGCAGCGACATAACATCGACAATATGGCAAAACAACGTTACAAAGGCGGGAAGAACAGACCTGTTTAACTGCGAATCCAATGCCCTCGTAGAAGCGATCTCGAGTGTAGACAGAGTAGATACCCGTGCTGGGTGGATAGGGCAGGGTTTCGTACTGCGGATCCCAGTCGATAAGGTAGAGATGGTTAAAGGCTATTACGGCCCGCTCGCCATAGCTGACTCGAGTGGAATTCAGGGAACCAAATAGAATGAGCTGAAATGAGGAGAAATAAGAGTGGGAACATGCACCAGCAGTCAGTAAACAAAAAATGCAGTAACTGCAGCAGAAACACAACGTGCACACGGTCAGAAGAACATTGCCAACATGGGAGACTGAAATTGTCATTTCTGGCGTACACAAGTCAGCCAAAGCGAACGCCAGATGCTGTAAAGGCTCGGACTCGCGGCCAGTTGGTTAGAAGTCCAAAACACTAAGCAATAAACAACAAGCTCGCTGACTTATTGGTTGCGCTTGGGTGTATGAATGACGGTAGACGGACGCAATGGTGAAGTGAACACCGTCTAATCTCTGCTAAAATCATCACCGTTATCCTTCGATAAATTCTCGGCAGGCCAATACATTTAAATGGAGAGGGGTTGAAGTTAAATAAGCAATCAATAGTGGTCATCTTTTCTTACAAGCGAGTCGTGGGAATCGGGGGAAAGGGTGGAAAAGAGAAGGATGGTCACGCGGGGAAGGCTTGCTGGAGCCCTTCTAGGGTACGGCGAGGGAGGGGCAGGAGACAAACAGAACGCGGATAAGTGCAAGCGACTAAGTAACTGTGGGCCACGTCAGCTGCAGGGCTTGTACGAAGTACTTTTGTGCACAAAACGTCGGCTTCAGCAACCTAATAGCGGTCGTTTTTGCTATTATTAGCAGACGCTGATCCAGGGACTTTGGGTAGTTTGGCGGGACCTTGTAAATTACCTTAAAGGCTTCGTTGGGGTTCACACGACGCCCGCAGTCAACCATGTGGGCAAGGATGGCGCTGTCGATGTTTCTGACTTCGCCTTTGCTGAGCCATGTATTGGCCTGACGAGAGGTAATTGAAAGTATACGTACGTCATCGTTATCGTCAAAAACTGACTTCCCATCGGCAAAAAAACGTCTAGCTGTAAAGTTATCATGGTTCGAACTAAAGTGTCAACAGAAACGCAAAAGAAGTGCAGTCATTGCTATCTGTATACTATCGTGTATCACCAGGTTGGGTACGGCTGACTGATGACGGCTAGTTAGCCAGAAATAGCCCCCCTCCCCACCCAGTCCCCCTGGTCTTTGTCGTAGGGCACGGTATGAAGAACAGGTTGGATATCGGTTGATTGCGGTTGTATTAAGAATTGCACAAGAGTGACCCCTCAAACCGACCAAGGATCGAGAAAAATAAACTAAAATTGGGAGTGGAATTTAAAGAAATAGAGAAGGGTACATGAAGCATGGAAACACTCAGGTAATTCTTTCAGCTGAGGGTTGTGGGGGGGGGGAAGGCCAACAATGCCCCCCCGCCTTCATTCTCTAATGTT